TGGTGAGTTTCATAGAGGCTTGGGGTTTAGTGATAGTCTCATTGTGTTACACATTTTACGTTGCTAAATTGGTTCCAAAAGGAATCATAAGGCTGACTTTGATCATCCCTGTCTTGTTCTATTTCTTCATAGTTCCTCTCTTAATATCTTCCGTACATTTGATCGGCATCACAGCTTTCTTCATCACTTGGCTCGGTAATTTCAAGATCGTTCTCTTTGCATTAGGACGTGGTCCTCTCTCTTCAAACCCTAGACCTTTATCTCTCCCTATTTTCTTGGCGGTTTCTTGCTTGCCCATCAAGATTCAGCTGAGCCCTAAACCTCCTACATCTCACTCCAATGGAGGTGGATCTAGAGATGGTCCCTTGAAGAATACCATAAAGGTGGCTCTTTTGGTTATTTTCAATAAAGTCTACGCTTACAAAACCAATCTGCCTGATAAAGCCGTGTTGACTCTCTATGCGATCCACACATATTTCACCCTCGAGCTCATCCTAGCTGCCGCAGCCGCTCTGGTTCGATCCATGTTCGGTCTTGAGCTTGAGCAACAGTTCAACAAGCCGTATCTGGCGACATCGCTTCAAGATTTCTGGGGGAGACGATGGAATTTGATGGTCACTGAAATCATACGGCCTACCGTGTACGAGCCGATAGTTCACCTGTTCTCTGTCTTGGGCCAAGACTGGTCCCGGTTTCTTGCAGTTTTCGTGTCGTTCGTTGTTTCAGGGTTAATGCACGAGCTCATCTTCTTCTACATGGGACGGTTGAGGCCGGAATGGAAGGTAATGTGGTTTTTCCTTATAAACGGAATTTGCACAACGTTGGAGATTGGCATCAAGAAAATTGTTAACGGAAAATGGAGATTCCCGACAGCGATTAATCGGGTTTTGACACTCGGGTTTGTGATGCCGACCGTCTTGTGGCTATTCTTGCCAGAGTTTACACGGTGCAACATATTTGAGAGGGCAATTGATGAGTACACAGCCATAGGCGCAGTTGCAATCAGGATCAAGAAGAGCATCACCGCGTCTCTTTTCTATGCTTGAAATGTGACAAATCTTGAGTGATCTCTATTGTGAGATCCTTTTTTCTATTATCTATCACTACAATACCATTGTTTCTGCAACTTGATAATTTACATGGAACACTAATCAAACAAAGTGGAAGTTTATAATACTATACAGAGAATTATACAAAGTGAAAATGAAACTAACAAAAGTTAACATAACTTTCATGTCGCTCATCTCACTAGAACAAAATCCGAAACAGAAACAAGAATCAAACGAACATGAGAACAATCAATATCAAATTTCTACCTCATGAGAACAAGTGTAAGTCATCGTGAGAAGAAGAACCCGACACAGACACGATAGTGCTCCTTTTGTCACAGAGAAGAACCTAACACAGCTTTTTGGATTTCGTTGCGTAAGCGTAAGCTTCCTCCCTCGATTTCTCGTTACGAAGAACCTAGATCACGACTTTCCCCCAATTCAATTTTGACCAAACTCTCTCTCAATCTAGACGTGTG